GCAGCAGCTGTACTGCCCAGTATTCATTCTCCTTTTATCTTGGTTTTTGGTCTCCACCAACCAAGTACTGAGAAAAATGGTTCTTTTTAATCATTAATTATAATTTGCTGCTAAATGTCTCACTACTACTTTTCCAGCTAGTTGTAAACTTTGCCTGCCTCCTGTTTGTTGCTGGCCAGATAGCAAACAGTTGATTTATCAGAGGTTTGCTGACAGTGGCCTACTGCATCTATGAGACTGAACCAAAACAGAAAATGTGTGGAACAAATCAAACCAAGGCGTTGAAAGATGCTCCAAACCCCTAGAGCTGATTCTCTGTGGACTCATTTTTACTTTGACTCTTTTAGTCTTATAGTCATGAGATAAACAGCTGATATTAAAAACTGGATTAGTGCACATTTTAAAAATTATCAAAGTATTTGTCACATTAATCCATAAAGACAGAGGGGTCACCTTAAATATTCAGGAAGCCAACTAATCCAATGATCAGCGCCATCAATCAGACACAAGATTTTGATGAATTAAATTAACCCATGTTTGGATCTGAAGGAGGGTCCATGTGAACCTGAGGGGAAAGAAATACAAATAATCTAAAATTTTAATGCAGACCTTAAAATTACTGAGAAGCTATCACAAAAAAGTTGTAAAGGTTTTTAGGGTAAGACTTTATTGATCCCACAATGGGGAAAGTGTTCCAGCAGCATTAGAGAGCAAATAACAAAACACCATAGGGACCTCCGAGAAGCAAATCAAAGGCACCTAAAAACAAGACAAAACATAGCACTTGAGAGAAATCAAGAACAAGAATATTACTCCCACAATTAATTCCATAATGGGGAAATATCAACAGCAGTAGAGACTAAACAACAGACACCATAAGAACAGCAGACACCACAAGGATCTCTGAAAAACAAATCAAGAATACCCAAAAAGAAGACAGTACAAGCATTTCAGAGAAATCAGGAACAAGATATCACTCTCACAATCAATCCTACAGACAGAGCAGTTTGTGGTCAGAGGGGTAGAGGCGGAGGTGTATGC